ATTATGACCAATAAATTGAGTATTTAACCTATCCTTAGCGCGCGGTAAGTTTTGTCCACTATTCAGGACATTATCTCTTATGTTTGGATTACCCATTAGGTTGGTAGTCACATTATCACCATTCAAATTTTGCATTCCATTACCTCCCTGGTTTGAAGTAGAAGGACCGAAAACTGATTATAAACTTTGACCTGGGTTCAAACTAGGAGAATTATGTGGTGAAGTATGCCCCACAATCGCCCTGGTTTGAAAGTGACTTCCTATGGGTATGACTGGTTGACATATTTGGCCTACTAACTTGTTTATGATGTCATTCAAAGTATTTAGTTGTTTGGCCATATTGTCATAATGAATGTTCCCATTTCGGGTAAATTTTTCTATATTGTGGACGTTCCGTAAATTTACCTGTTCAACGACATCTTGCGTGAGTTCCCCAAACAATGCACGCATGGTTCGAAGACTCAATTTTGTCATTGGCTCATAACAATTGTGACTGCTCGAACTATGTCCCTCTATTCGTGGAGAATGTTGCTGCTCCTCATATCGCTCGATCACAGATTGGACTACTCACTGACTTGCTGGTTCCTTATGAGAATTTTTATGAGGCATGATGCTTTTCTTTTTGTATCTTCGAACACCAAATGTCTCACTAGGCGTGTCAAATTATTTCGCGCGGTTTATCGCTAACAATTAAAAAGGAGATTAGACGATTGTGTAAGGGACAGGCCTCTTGAGACAAGGTCCCAAAAATGGGTGTTTAGTGACTGAAGATTACAATTGGATGTGAACAGGATGCCTCCAAGGGGCGCAAGCACATGAGTACTAGGAAGGAAATGAATTAAAGTTAATCTAAGAAAAGTAAATTACATATTCTCTATTTGAAAGTGAATTTTTTTGGGGCTCCTTCATTGTTTTCTTCTTTCTTTTATACTTCTTAGGCAGCTTTCAACCGTTTGGAAACTGTTTGTAACCACCCATTTCTTTCATAATGGCTGACTTGTCAATAACTACTGTTTGTAACTCCTACCATTACATTTTTCATAACCGCTTGCCACTAAACTTCCTAGATTGTGGGATGTAATCCCGACGTGCTCAAACCGCCTCATACCGCTACCTTAGAGAACAACATGATGTTAATCATTACTAGGATCCTGGGCGACTCAGCAATTTAGGTGATGATTGGTCAATCGCTCTGGGCGACCATAAGGCACTTCATTCGCTCAATTTTTGGGCATTCTACATGCTTAGGCTATGGCGTTACTTTGTTTGTAGGCCTCCATTACACTTACTGAAAATCTTGATTGAGCCTTTGTCCTGAATTCCTTAATTGGGCTTCCTTCCTTGGGCCATTCGAATTGGGCTACACTTTTTGTGTATCAACACTTGCACTCCATGCTTTCCCCGATGTCATGTTTTGAATAGTAAGTGTGGAACTTCTATTCAATGTATGAATGCTCCATTGCA